CGATCAGCGCTGTAAAACGCCCAGGTGTGAACCCGGCCTTAATGGCTCTAAAATTATTGCTCTCACTCCGTTTGCGGCGATATGCAACATGTGCGGCACGTAGGCGCACCTCACGCATATATGCGTGTGTATGTGGGGGGCGCGGACTTAAATAAATGTTATGCTTCTTTATTTTTTTTTACCAATCTTTCATTTTTGTATTACTTCTTTTTTTTTTTTTAATTGGAACCTGATTGGTGGTGTAAGACAACAAGGCAGTTTTTATTTCAGACACGTTGCTCTACGAGGCTCACGATCTATAATTCACAGACTTTTACAAGTTCCGCAAAGTCAATAAAATATTCTCAGTCACAAGAAGAGGCTTTTTGGGGGGTTTCCATTGTTCAAAGTACAAAACCTCGTCAGATTCACAGATTTCGGTTAGAGAAGTGAAGGTTGACGGTTATCCTGTTTGCAGACAAAGACTCAAAGTGTTCTTCTTCTTCCGCTTCTTCCTGAACTTCCCTTCTGGGTCATCACTTCTCAATTGTGTCCATAAGGATGACCATCCACTATACAATCTCCATTGGATCCACCATGTGGTGGAGGGACCTTCCTAGGAAAGTATAGGACGATGATTCGTAGTGTTTCTCCCGGACGTCCTCCATCAATCCTCATTTCTAGTGTTTCTGGTTTTCATGGATAGTCCAGACACCCCTTACTACACCAGGCACAGCCGTATGACTAAAGCAATCACAGGCCGTGGGTGGGGGATGTCACCTAACATTAGTGCTTTACTGAAAGTCAAGAAAAGTTAGGTCAATAACTTGGCAGGACGGGTGAGCAGAGATACAAATCAATTGGCAGGTAAAATGGCTTCCGTCTATGTATTATGACTATATATTGATCTTCTTGCATGGAGTTTGGGTTTAAACAAACTTCAGCAGCAAACATTGGAAGTAGAGTGGTCCAGAAAACCTTAGGGAGTGTCAACCTGGCCCCGATCCCATAGTGTCACCTTTTCCAACATGTCAGTTTGTCAAGTTTCTACCCTTCTGGTGCGGCTTTCTGGCTGTGCAAAGCCCTGATCACCACACAACTGAATGTGGATGAGGTAATTAGGGATACCAACTGTAAACCAGACCTGACTGTCCTGATTGGTGTCAGCCTTACTTATGGTCTTGTGGTTGAAATGAACCCAATTACACCAACATTGTGCCAACATATATTGGAAAGCCTTCTCAGAAGAGTAGAGTCTGTCGTAGCAGCCAATGGAGGACCAGCTCTTGAATTTGGAATGCTCACATTGTATGTTATAGTGTTACACCCATTCTATGTCCTCCTTTTGTACAGATCAATTAAACAGTCCTTTAGTCTACGTTTTGAGGTCCAGAACATCACACACGCTCGTTATGGTGAGTGCGGCATTTGGTCAAATAGTGACAGATGCTGTAGAGTGCAAATATGATGCAGACCATGGCCATAATGATGGACAACGACCCTAGGAGGTAGAGGGACATTCTCTTCTCGGCAGGGAATCGGACCAGGCATGTGAAGGGCCCAGGGCATATGGAGGTGGAGCATTCAATGGGGTCACCAGACACCATCGGCAGATGCCACCCCATCAAGAAGTAGAGGAACGTCAGCTCTCCCACCAGCCGCAGGAAGATGCAGAACAAGTAGAGGACAAGTAACGTTCTCTGATGGTGGAAATCCAGTACCAAATCCTTGTGGGCCAAGTCTGAGGACCAAGTCCCGATCAGAAATCCATCTGGGTGGTCAGCTTTCCCCCTCATGGCAGACTTGGTGAGGTTGTGCCGGAGCTGGGAGGTGAAAAGCTCCATGAGGAGAACGGAAACCACGAAGTAGACGTAGGCGCTGTTCCACAGGGAGACGACGGGCACGCTGAAGTGGTTGCTGAAACAGGATTTCCGGCAGAACTCTGAGGTTATGTTGCCCTGGCAGTCGAAGTCCAAGTCCAGCTTGCCCCAGGGGATCTCCGACACGTAGAGAGCAAGAAGACGGACCACAGCGAAACCAAACCACATGGTCCTCCCCGTGTAGTCTGTGGTGGCTTCCAGTGCTGTGCGGAGGATCGGGATGAGGCCAGTGACCATCGCCATCTATAATACAATAAAAGTGTTAGTTGAAGGGTCACATGACACATGACATCACTTTTCCTCATCGCAGTCTTGAAGGGAACTTCTAAGCATTGAAACATAGGAGCCGCCATTGGTGATGTTTTTAGTGGTGCATGATTTTGGGCTGATTTTAGGACTGGATGCGAGTCTCTCTCAGCTTTCATTGGGTGCATGCTCACTCCAGGCCACTCACCCACTGGGTAGGGAAACAAGGATGGGACCTTAGCCACAGATTGTGCTACTTTAAAAAAAAGTTAGCTATGCAAACTCTGATTCCTTCTAAGCTGGCTAAAATTGGCCCTGTCTTCACCACCCAGCACCACAAACATTGAATGAAAAAAAACAGGACTACCAGTGACTGCATCCAATCAGATGATTGAAAGATTCCTCCATCCACACTGCTTAGCATTGATGGGTGGATCGAGTGATTTCTCATGTTCAGCCCGCTGGCCTCATTGAGAGAGATCTGAGCATGTATGGATAGCATCAGTGGCGTCACAAAGGGGGGTGCGGGGGTGCGGCCCGCCGCGTGACACCATTGGAGGGGTGACACCAAAATGACTCAGTCATTTTGGTGTCACCCCCCCTCTGAAAAGTCGGGAGCTCGGCCATGGACCGAACGCCCGACAGTATCAGGAGAGAGGAGGGGACCCGGCGGCATACCTTATCCCCGCCGGGTGGCTGTCTCCTCCTCTCTCTGTCGGCGTCCATCACCAATGACGTCATCGCGCACATGCGCAGTGACGTCTCGGCGGGGTGACACTCGGACACCGCTCCGGGTGTCACCCAGCTTCGGGACGCCCCTGGATAGCATTGCCCACTTCTGGGCAGCCGTGTTCTTGGTACCGCTTTTAACAGCCAGCGATGGCTGTTAACGTACAAGGGATCCGGCGTCTGTACAGCCTCCAGATTGTTTGTACCGTGTGGCGGCACCCCCGTTAGGGTTAGTGTAAAAAAAAAAAAAAAA